GCGGGGGCGGTGAAGCAGAATCCCAATACAGTGCCTGAAAGCCCACCATTAGAGTCCTTCTAATCATTCTTTAGTGCTAAACACTGCCCCCCACTGCTCCCCTTGCCAAACATTAATAGCCTTGGGCAGGGTAAAATAATCAGTCTTGGAGTCAACTAGTTAGAAGTCTCACCAACTTTCAATGCAGCCAGAGCCCTGCCCTGCATTCAGAGGCCCCTGGTGACTGACATCTCTTATAGGTAAGAGGTGACAAATGACGCCCTAACCACTTGGTAGACTTGAAACCCCCTCACTGGGAAGGAGAAAAAAGTGAGCATTTGTCTATGAGCTCACAGGTCCAGGGCAGAAAAGCTTCGGTGTATGTCCCTCCACATTCCAGAGTCCAGACTCCTCATCCCGAGCTCTGGGTCAAGAAGAGCCATGCTGATCAGAGACCATGTGGTCCACGCTGGGGGAGGCAGAGCTCAAGTCCAAGAGACACAGACCTCCCAGCAGAGCCCTGGGCCTAGACAGGGTCACATGAAGAAGGGGTGGCCATGGGGCCAGGGCCAGGCTTAGGGCAGGGGTCAGACTCCTTCAGGCATCCAGACACTCACGCTTTTGAGACAGGGAGGAACTGGCAGCTGAAGTCCTCAGAGCAAGGGGCATTTATCAATGGCCCAATTCATTCTTAACAATCCCCATTGTCTGAGCCAGCACAGAGATGGTCATTATCTCCCAGAGCCACTAGAAAGAATAGCCCCAGGACATAGTCATGAATCCGAGTCCAAAGATACAGAAGCCAAAATTAAGACATGGTTTGGAAACCATGTGAAATATCTGAAATTGGAGATGTCCCCCCAAATCCAGGCAACACACTTCCCATCCTCACAGGCAAATAAAAGGCTTAATTGCTGGTTGTTCATTTATTTATTCTGATCTCTTTCTACAAAGGATGTGGGAGTTTACATTTAAAGATGTGTATACTATGTAGTTGTTAAAGCAGAAATTAAAAGTGAAGCCAGGGTTCCAACGATTACTACACTGGAGCAATAGGATAGACTAAGAGCTTCCTGGCAGCTAGAGTAGGAAGAGAAACCCCCAGGTTCAGTCATGAGTTCAGGAGTCACAGAGACCTATAGAAATCCCTTGAGCACCCTCAGCCTGTTTCCTTGTCAGGAAAAAAAATGGGACTATTAACCTAAGAAAGAAAGTTGTTGTGAAAAGTAAATGAAATAAAGCATATACTAAAGATTCCATCAATATGTTTCTATTACCATTATTACACGTCATTATTACTATTATTCGGATGTCTGACTTCTCCTCTTTAAACTGGAACTATGTGAACTTAGTGGAGTTGTCCTGATGCTCTATGATTCTGCATCGTTGCTCTGAAGTTCTGACTGGCAGGTATATGTATTTGATTAAGAGGGGGAAAAACGGAAATAGACCAGGACTGAGTCACCATGAGTCCTCCAGTTTTCCAGTCTTGTCTTGAGCCCTATGGTGGCTGGGGCCCCTACAAAGGAGAAGGCTGGGGAAGGTATGCAGACTTCCTTCACTCTGCAAGAAGGCTGCCAGGCTGACCTCAGCCCGCCCTTACTGAACCATCCCCAGGGGTCAGGCTGAGGACCAGGGCAGGGGAGAATAGATCCCTGCACCCCACTCAGGAAATAGCTGAAGATCATCTATCTCCTGCATATAAGGAGACTTGGTAGAGTGAGAGCTCAGGCACTCCTTGGACTAAACCATAAACACTAAGTAAGATAAAGTCCATGTCATCTGAAGGATGCACGTCTGGACATCCCCACTGAAGCCTGTCCAGAGGAGAATGACCTGGATGGAAGAGGTCTAGAAGCCATAACAACAACAACAACAACCTGATATTTTGGGTCACCTACTCCTCCAAGCACTGTTTAGTGTGTCCTCAGTGGTCCCCAGGAGAAGGAGATCAGGGAGAACAAGATTCTGTCAAGGAAAGAGATAACCACTGGGGGAAGGGAGAGGAACAAAGCCAAAGCCAGCTCTTTTAGCCTAGCTGAGATGGGAGACTCAAAACAGGGCTGATTAAAACCAAAGGGAAGGATTCAGTCCGGCTCAACTCACTGCCCCTCCCTGTCAAATGACTGCATGGCCCCAGCCCACAGAAGGCTCACGGTTTTTCTATAGCGGGGAGAATCCAGAGTGCAAACTAGGGCCTAGAGCAAATTACAGATGCCTTGCTCTGCCTCAGCCTGCAAGCCTGACCTTTTCATTTGTAAGAGGGTAAAAGCTGCTTCTAAGTCCAGACCCTTAAGCCCCAGGCTACACGGGCAGCCTTAGTGCTAGAACGAATGGGAAATCCCAAAGGCACTGTGTTATCATTTTCCCTGAACCCACAGCCAAAGTCCCTAACTTAAGATAGTCCCTACTGTGGCCAGTTTCTTGGACTCATTGGCCAGGGTACCATATGTAGGCTAAAGGGGACCCAAAAAGGGGGTCTGGAGGCTGAGGGTACAGTAAGCCAGGGGGGCATGTTTGTGCATATGCATATTCTACACATGTAGGTACGTGTTGCATACACGTCACTGTCCCCAGGTGTACGTGTTGAAAGTATGTGAGTGTCTGCCTGGATGTCCTGACTGGAAGTGCATGTGTGGGTAGGAATGTGTGTACTCAGGAGCAGCTGTGAGGGTGTGGGTGTGAGCGCCCTATCAGCGTTTGTGAGTGCGCACGACTGTGTGGTCTGCCCACCCGCTCTCACTGTCCTCCTGCCTCTTCTGCCATGACAGTGGGTCCCCCAAGCTGTCTCCTCAACCTGGTCAGCCAGCTGGGGTCCCTCAGAGCCCCATCTACTCCAGTGTTGGCCAAGGACTCTGAGCTCCCGCCCTGCTTACAGCCGTGAAAAACCAAAGCCACCGAATGACCCACAGAGAAGATACTCCAGGTGGGGACGAGCCAGTCACCCTAGAAAGTCGGAGTTCAGATAACACTCTTTATCCTTACTCTGTCTTCATGGGCTCACGCACACACATCCATCCGTCCCCCCCGTGTGCACTCTCTCAGCCCACCTGCAGCCTTCCTACCCCACACACGAACGTACTTGCAGGAAAGAGACACACCTGCCACCTGCGGGCACACTCCAGGCCCACCTACCAGCACGTTCCCCCACACACGGACATGCTCTCTCACTCATACTCCTCCCCTGGGACACATGCTAGAAAGTTCCACAAGCTAACACATCGGCCCAGGCACTCCCTCCCACAGCCCACTGCCACTCCTACACCTACCGTCCAAAGAGTCGCAAGCACGCTGGGTCCCCCACTAGGCCGTCCGACCGGCAGGGCCCGGAATCAGCCGGCCCAGGGGGTCTACTCACTGCGAGGGAGCGGGGCGGCGAGCCGGGTGCGCGCGGCGGCCAGCGGTGGCAGGGGCGCAGCTGGGGCTCCAGAGGCCGGGCCAGCCGAGGG